AAACAAAATGAGGACCACAATACACCCATGGCCAAAGTGGCACTCACATAATGCTTCACACACCAAGAATAATGGTTCAATAAATAACAATGCTAAAACAAAGTCTAGACTACTCAATAGCCATTCAATCAATTCCTTAAAATGTATACTAACATATACACACACAAATATCTACAATATCTCTATTTTAACATAAATCATGCTTAGGCAAAAATAAGACCACTAAATACTCAAATTCCTCCCATTTCTATAATGCTTGACATTACTAAAACCTATTACAAATACAAGTGATACAAGGATGACATCACAAGTACTTAAAATGTTATATAATACACATATAGTCAAATTAAGCATGGCTCATATATACAAATTGCAATTAATCATGCTTCACATAACCCCACATCCATAAGACCCAAAGGAATGTAAATTACGAGTATAAGACACCCCTACCTCCATTTGAGGTGAAAGCCTCAAATACGCCAAAATAAAACCGCTCCAAAAGTGTCGCAATTTGGGGTTACGTCGGGGACAACGAGGAGAACGATAAATTCTCTTGCGGTACCTTCCGAATCCAAGCCCGAACTCAACTACAAAACTCAAAAATGGACAAAATGGAATTCCAATCAGATAGAAAGATGGCCGTTAGCAAGGCCGACATAAAGCCCTTTTATGGCAAGGGACAAATCCGAAGGGAAATGGACCAAATGGAGGAGAGAAGAAGAAGATCCAAAGAGGAAGAAAGAGGAGCAACTTCCGTCCATGAGAGAAGGAGAAATCTAATTTCTCTCTCTCTCCTCGCCTTTTATACTTTCCAAAACTATCGCCCGAGTGGGCCCTATGTGATCCCGAAAAACAAAAGTTATCCAAACGCGCTCAAATGGACAAAAACCAAACACATGAAAGTGCCGGTGTCCAACTTAACTCACAATGAAAGAAATGGCATTAAAAAATAAGTCCCGCACCCCAAAATCCTTCCCAGACCCACACGGCGACTTCTCGTGTCAAAAGCCTTAAAACGGGGAAAAGGATCCGAAATGCATTTCTAAGAGTCTATAGCTTGAAGAAACGCTAAAAAGAATCCCGTACAAGAATCCTAACCCAAAATAAGGCAATTTGTCCTAACTTTCATTAATTACACAAAAGTCCCCCATGAAAAATATCTCTAAAGATAATGGCACTATTGCCCCAAAATAAAAATATCTCCAAAAGATAATTACACAAAACCCCTTAATGAAAATATTTCCAAAAGATATTCACTCAAGGACCCTGGGAATGTCAACAAAATAAAATCGTACAAATAGATGTTCAAAAAGTCAAAACTTAAACAAGTTCAATACAAATAAAAAATGAAAGGAGTGTCGGGAACTATTCTCGAGCACTTGATTTAAGTCCGACAAGACCGGAACCCAAAAAATATAGGGAAAAAGAAAATACCAAAAAAAATAAATAGGGATAGGTCCTCACAAGCTTGTTGTGGTGCTAAGTTAAGATTGAGACAGGTATATTTTGGCTTCTTACATTTGCTGAGCACTTGTTCTTGAGCTATATGTTGCTGCAAATTAATTTTGTATCTTAGACCTGTGATTTAAGTACTATTCTTGGTTTAGCCTTCTGATCTATGTAAAATATGGTTATATCTTGCTATGGTGTGGTTGATTATCATTCTAGTAAGTTTGTATAGATAGATTAAGGCTGTTGAAGTTGAATTTTGCCCAGAACTTTGGTCATTTCTTGATTTGGCTTCACAAAACCCTAATTCTTCAGGTTTTCTATGGTTTAAGGCCTTTTTCGTGTTTATTTGTTATATGTTTGTTATATTTATCATGATTATCATCTGAGCATATATACATTGAAGATTTAAGGCTGTGGAATTCATCTATGAGTTTGAGGGTACACGAAATTTCATTTTTACCCCTCAAAACCTAGCTGCTGTAAAATGAAGAACAATTGTTGTGATTGATACTTTAAGCTTGTTTATCACTCTTATCTTGTAATATAGCTTGAGTATTGTTGATTGTAACCTTTCATATGTATTGTTTGTGAGCTGATCGAGACTACTCATTTGGTTCAAGCAAGGGTGCTGTAGACAGGGGGAGTGCAATGTGCACTTAGTGGTGGTAGTGTGTGTGTAGAGGCTGTGAAAATTAGTGTTTTAACTTGTACAAGGGTGTGTGCAGAGCGTGAGACAGCTGAGTTATAACTACTTCTATACAACTAGTGGAGCCATTATTGGCTGAGGCCAAGAGCCAATGTTTTTCCCCTAATTGAGAGGGGTTTTCCTTATAATATCTTTATGTTAATTGTGTGGCTTCAAATTGATCTCAAATCTGTCCTTGTGTTAAAGAAAGAATTTGAAGTAGGACCAATTCACGCCTCTCTTGGTTCAACCCTAAACCTTTGATTATTGTTATGTGTGCATCTCATTTCGTAAAATGAACAACTAAAATCAATTCACACACACACAAAGATGTTCGTCATAACGAGTGACATTCTTGTCATATCGTTATCAGGATGCCCTACTACATGCAAGGGATGGCCCTCAAAGAGTCTTGCTCCTTTGGACCCTGCTATTTCCAAAAGTAATAAGTACTTTGTCCATTTTCAGAGCCATCACAACTATTTCTCATAAATCAAACAAAACTCAAATTCAACTCATACACGCACAAGCATGTTCGTCATGAGGGATGAAACTTTTGTCATATTGTTATCAGGACTCCCCACTGCATGCAAGAGATGGCCCTCGTAGGAGCCCCACTCCTTTGAACCCCACTGTTTCTTAGAGAAACAAATACTTTGTTTATCTTCGGAGCCATCACAGTTTTCTATCACGACACTCATTGTAATGAAAAATCAATTCCAACACTCACGAGCCGTTATGCCGCTCGATTCTCGCTTAAGTTATGAAAGTGCATTTTATCAATTCACTCGGAGAGCAATGTTAATTGAAGATGACTTGACTGACAATCAAGTACTAAACCCAGCAAGACCATCCGATCTATTTAGACCTAGAGGGGAGTGAATAGGTCTTATGAATATCTATAGACAATTTAAAAATAAACTAATCAAATTCTGATTTGCTTTTAAACTCCTCTTTTAAAAACGCTCTCATGTGATCTCAATTTACTTACCAATTTGATTCTTTAGAATACTTGTGAAATCAATGATTAAGCATGCATACCCAAATTGTTTATTGAATAAAGGCCCGAAAAAGTCTCTGAAACACTTTCTTTACCCAGGAAAATAAAAAAATAAATAAAGGGCCCGAAAGCGGATATGGACTAGTAAGCTACAGGCATAGATCAAATGGATAAAGCCTACGATCTACATTTATGGATGGTATGAATGAATTAATTATAGATATAGATATTAGTTTTTTGAAACCTTTTACTTCACATGGAGGTTGATGAGCCTATTTTAGTAGTTTTAATATCATATATTTCAAAAAAAGTATATCCAAACATTCTTATCTACCCGTCGAACAAAGCAATCTGATCAGAAAACAGTCTTATAATGTAGCTCCTATTAAAAAAACAAATAATAATTATGATAATAATGAAAAGCACTTGGGGGACATTTAAGAGAGTAGTTTAATCTCCAATTAAAACTGCCAGCTCAGAACTTAAACAGTCCCTTGTGTACAGTTCTCTCCCCTTAATTTCCACCCAATTCCAACTAGTAACCAAGTCTTCTTGCATGACATTTCTTTAATTATGTACCAAAAGGACTTTCAGAGCTTGTGAAAGGTTAAGGTGGGCTATATGATATAGTTTGTGTCTCCATCAACCCGGCAAGCATACAATTTAAAACTATATATATATCATATATGTATAGTTTATGAACAAGGAAATGAGTACCATTTGACCCCTGAGAGAAGTTGTAGAAGACTTTGGAGGGTATTATATACCAAACATTAGCATGATATAATAATACAGTCGATACGTGTGGACATAAGGCCTCTTACAGCAAATAAATTTAACAATTTGAATTAGTTTTGGAAGAAGAAAATGGAATGGGAATATGTATGATCATCCATGTTTGGCACTTCATTGACTGGTAAGGTGCTTGACATTTGGGTATGTTTAGTTTACAACTATGAGAACAGTTTTTTTTTTTTTTTTTTAATAAATAAAAAATCGTACAAAAAATACTCTGATTGGTTCAATTTTCTTAAAACTGTTTTCTAAAAATTCAGTTGTAAAAAGTATCATATTTTTGAAGAACTATTATCTGAAAATAGTTTTCTATTATCTGAATTTTTGAAAACTGTTTTCAAAATTATAAACTAAGCATACCCTAAATTTTGTCAAAAATAGTTGTAGACTAACATTGTAAATGAACAATTATTGGGAATTTAATATTATTTCAATACATTAATTATCATAAGTTATGCAGTTTTTATCTTCGCTTTCAAAGATTGATCATTTAGCAAAAGATTTTTTCAATGCATCCAGGAATTGAACACAAACCTCTAGATCATTGCCGCGACGGCCTTATGCCAACAACTTGACTATCCGTGAGAGTTGCTAAATAATGTTCTATAATCAAAGATTTGTACAATGTATGTGTTAATGTCAGCACAATAGCAATTACGCCCCCTAAAATTAATAGTAACAAATTGGTAATGTTAAAATAGTAGTAGCAAATGGCCGGGGTACTCTTTATCAGTGCATCTGATCCTTTGGGTTATACCATGAGTCTATCTTGTTCATAATGCGGCAAAACGGATTCCTTTTGCTTATTTAAATCTTTAATAAACCTACTGTAACCATTGGGAATCTCCATTGGCTCCTTAAGGTTTGTAAAATGTCAACTCATGAACCCCTATATAAACAACACACTATCTCTCATCTTCCAAAAACAACATCACAAACCTCCCATTATACACTTCTTAACCCCTTCTTCATTCTTAATCTTCCAAGAGATCACAAACCTCCCATTACTCTATACACTTCTTAACCCCTTCTTCATTCTTAATCTTCCAAAAGAGAGAGAGAAAGAAAATGGGTGATATTGAAGGCTCCCCAGGAAGCTCCATGCATGGAGTAACAGGCAGAGAACCTGTTCTTGCCTTCTCTGTGGCTTCGCCGATTGTACCAACTGATACAACGGCAAAGTTCTCATTGCCGGTGGATTCGGAGCACAAGGCCAAAGTGTTCAAGATCTTCTCATTTGCCAATCCACACATGAGAACCTTTCACCTCTCCTGGATCTCCTTCTTCACCTGTTTCGTGTCCACTTTCGCGGCGGCTCCCCTCGTCCCCATCATCCGAGACAACCTCAACCTCACGAAAGGGGACATAGGAAATGCTGGGGTTGCTTCCGTCTCCGGTAGCATCTTCTCACGGCTTGTAATGGGTGCGGTCTGTGATCTGTTGGGGCCGCGATACGGGTGTGCCTTTCTTATGATGCTGTCAGCCCCAACTGTCTTTTGCATGTCGTTTGTGTCATCGGCAGGTGGATACATCGCTGTCCGTTTCATGATCGGATTCTCTCTCGCGACGTTTGTCTCGTGCCAGTACTGGATGAGCACAATGTTTAATAGTAAGATTATTGGGCTTGTCAATGGAACAGCAGCCGGTTGGGGTAACATGGGTGGAGGAGCTACACAACTGATAATGCCACTACTGTATGACATAATCCTGCGCGCTGGCTCTACTCCATTCACCGCCTGGAGAATGGCCTTCTTCATCCCAGGTTGGCTTCATGTCATAACTGGGATTTTGGTCTTAACTCTTGGCCAGGACTTGCCTGATGGCAATCTTAGTATCTTGCAGAAGAAGGGTGATGTTGCTAAAGATCAATTCTCCAAGGTCAGTTCTCGATCTCACTCTCTCTCTCTCATAACCACCGGTACCAATCAGCAGGCTGATCCTTTTTTCCTTGTTATATATATATATATATATATATTTTTTGGTTCAGGTGTTTAGGAATGCTGTAACAAACTACAGGACATGGATCTTTGTCCTCCTGTATGGTTATTCCATGGGTGTTGAATTATCCACTGATAATGTCATTGCAGAATATTTCTATGATAGGTTTGTTTTCTTATTTTGCCTTACCACATTTTGAGAAAGGTATTGTATACGGGGTAACCCAACCAATGCACAAACATGGAAAATCTCAATTTGCAAATTGAGAGTTTCTATGTCAGTATATTGGGTGAGGTACCAAGTGTAACTACTTAGATACTGTAGATTTTTTCTAGGATTTTGCTTGATAAAACGGGTAGCTCGAAGTACTATATTATCTATACATCCGGGATACTGAACCAATAATATTTAATCTGTGACAGGTTTGATCTCAAGCTTCACACTGCTGGAATCATCGCGGCCACCTTCGGCATGGCTAACATTGTGGCTCGGCCATTTGGCGGATTCGCTTCCGACTTTATGGGCAGAAAGTTTGGCATGAGGGGCAGGCTATGGGCCCTTTGGATCCTACAAACACTTGGAGGGACTTTCTGTGTTCTCCTTGGCTACGCCAACTCCCTTCCCATAGCGGTTGCCATGATGATCCTCTTCTCCATTGGAGCTCAGGCTGCATGTGGAGCAACTTTTGGAATTATTCCATTCATTTCTCGAAGATCACTCGGTATCATATCTGGATTGACCGGTGCAGGTGGGAACTTTGGCTCTGGTCTGACCCAATTAGTGTTCTTCACAAGCTCAGGTCTCTCCACTGCTAGAGGTCTCTCCTACATGGGGTACATGATCATAGGCTGCACATTGCCTGTGACGCTTGTGCACTTTCCACAGTGGGGAAGCATGTTCCTTCCTCCTTCGAAAGATGCTGTAAAAGGTACTGAAGAGCACTACTATGTGTCTGAGTGGAATGAGGAGGAGAAGCAAAAGGGAATGCACCAGGGAAGTCTCAAGTTTGCTGAGAACAGCCGGTCAGAGCGAGGGAAGCGCGTTGCCTCCGCAGCATCTCCTCCCAATTTGACACCGGCCCATGTTTAGTACTGACTAGCTATATGCATGAAAGATGAAGATGAAATAATTAAGTATGGTGCAACTAGCAGTACCTTAATAATACAACCTTAATTATTTGTACTTGTGTTTTCAATTTCCAACCTTCCTTTTGTTAATCAAAATCGAATGATGTTGTCAATGAAAATTTCTGTGGCTTAAGCTCGATCGGTGCTCATGGTATTCTTCTTGAACATATGGAAGTTCTTGTCTGTTCATCATGTTCATATATATATATATAGAGAGAAAGAGAGATAGATAGATAGATAGATAGATATATGATTCAAAGATGTCCACTGCATTAAGTTTTTCCAAATCGGGAATAATTCAAGGTAATTGGTTAATTTCTTTGTCCAGATTTTTTTAGCAGGTTAAACAGTGAAACCAAAAAAAAAAAGTCACAATTCAAGTTTGATAAAACAACTAGAGAAGTAGCTTATCTCATTTGGGCTTGTGACTTTTTAAATCGATCAATAGAGTGAGTTCATTTTACTAGAAGGAGATCAACCATAATGTACCCACATACAACTTTTAGCAAACCACACTTTCAGGATAGAGGATTCTGGATTCTTGTCAGCTGTAATAGAATTATATATGGGATTATTACATATAAATGGGGTTAGGGCACCATATTTACTTAGAGGCTGAGTCAAAGTCCCATATTTCTCTAAAATGTGTTTAACCCAAAAGCTGAGGTGGCACATGAAAAAATATTGTTTCATATTTCTGTTGCCTAAAATACCCTTCTTCCTATTTTATGTGTTGCCTAAAATGCCATTTTCTACACTTATCTATTTTCAAGCCATAGTCCTCTTTTCACATTCCATTCGTGCCGGACTCGTGAAGCTCAAGTGTTCTCTCTCTCTGCCCTAACCCTCACTTCATGAAGCTCAAGTGCTCTCTCTCTCTCTCCCCCTCTCTGTAATAGCTCAAGGCAGGCCACACATCTCGGCACACAACATCAGCGAACATGGAGGTCTTCTCCACTTTGTTTCTCACTGATGACCGATTCTATTTGGTGTGAAATGAAGCCAGACCTAGGTTATATCTCTCTCTCCTTCACAATTTAATTCAAGGATGAATCTAAGGTTTGAGGTAATTTCTCTCTCTCTCTCTCTCTCACACACACACACACACACACCCGTTTTGGGTGGATCTCCCCCGATAATTTGTGCAATTGAATCTGGTCACTGTTAATGTTTTATGATTGTTATTTAAGTTCGTATTTAACATTATTGAGTTATATTTTGGTTCTTTTGTGGTTGTCTTTTTTATTTATTTTTATTGTTAATCTCAATTAAAATTTGAAATATTGATGCAAGATTAAATTTATACGGTAATCTCAATTTTATTTTATTTTTTTATTTTTTATTTTTTATTTTTTATTTTTTTCATGATATTTGGTTAGAAAAATAACTATTCTATGTTTTGTGCTATTTTGTAAGTTAATTATTTTATTTTTTTGGGATCAATTTTGTTACTAGTTTAACATATTTATTTTTGTAGACCAGATATATATAGTTGATATGAACACAAGGTGCTAAACACACAGCACCATACACATAAAAGGTGAATCTTGTTATGTCTGAATATCCTATCCTTGTTATAGAGACTTAAGTAGTGAAGAAAGTATAAAATAATAATAATAAAAAAAGTGTCACTCACTTCTTATTTTGCATTATATAGTATGGGTGAAATCTAGTATAGATTCAACAAGTGTTTGACACAGTAATTCTTAGTTGGAGAGAGAGAGAGAGAGAGAGGAGAGAACCAACTAAAAGTGGGAGGAGAAAAAAATTGATTTCAGATTGTGGGCTACTTTTGGTACTCTGTCCTGCATTTTGAAAATTTTCACTCAAAGGGTATTAACTAAATTTGGTGGCTCTCTGTTACAACCCTCCTAGCTTTTAGCTCATCAGCCAAACTGACATGTACTGTGTGCAATGTTTCATGCTCCCAGAGAAACCCTCTTTAAAACAGACCTTTAGAGAGAGAGAAACAGCAGCAGATCAGGAGCACGGTAGAGAGAGAAACAGGATAGTATTCTAGAGAGAGAGGAAAGGAAATCGGCATTTGAAGGAAGTGAAAAAAGGAAGAGTAATTAACTTCCAAAAAAATAAATAAAAAGCTAGAGTAATGACAAAGGTACTGCATTTATACCCATGCCTACATCAAAATGAGAGCGCTTGATGATTAATCACTGCCTCTGCTACTGCAAAATATAGAGTACTTACTAGTATATACTTGTGTATATATGTATAATTATATGTATCTACACGAATATATACTCTACACAAGTTTTTTTTACTTTTTGATTGTGTTTAGTTTATGTTTATTTACTTCTTATTTTTACCTTTGTTTGTAAACTAATATTTCAATCTAGGTGGTACTTTACTAATAATTTAACACCTTGAGCTAGCAACTGACATTGCCAACTCTCATTAGATATATTATAGTATTAATTATCATATTGTTTATTAAATTATCAAACATTGGGAGGAGAGCTTCAAACTATAATTAGAGTTGTTGGTCAAGTGACTCTTCACAGCTTATTTCACTTTTTATTTTAGGTGGTGTTTTTCAGTCATGGATGTAGGACACAATAAAAATCTTTTTTTTTCAATTATACAAGGGTATACCGTACCCGAACTCACAATTATAGAAATTTTGTGCACTTCTTTCTTTAGAAAATAGTGCAGGGAAAGTAAAAAAGAGCAAGCTAGATCAAACCCAGAAGTATAAAGCAATAATGAATCTGGATGCCATTACAGTTCTTAAATCCACATAGTGATAAGATGATGGCCTGCCTGCATAATGTCTGGAAGTGACTAATGCGATATAATTTTTTTTTTATAACCCATCGTAAGGGATGTTAGCAAAAAATTGGATAACATATATGTAATATACATATATACGAGTTACTAGTGCATTTTCAGTTTTCAGTTTAATTTCTGAGGCCTACCCAATTGCAAAAAAGAAGCCTTTTTACAATTACTACAGGATCTTTCAAAGTTAATTACCAATTGCAGACTCCTTTTCATGATTGCGCAAAAGCCCATCCTCTTCCTCAACTGTCTGTGCTGTAACAGGGGGTCCTCCAAAACTCACGTGGTTGTATTCTGTTAGTGATGCCTTATTGAATTCGTAGCCAGGTTCTGAATGCATATATGAAAGAAAGTCAATCAAATTACCATCCCTCTTCTATTATATAAATATAGAAACACATAGATACATACAAGCATGAATTCATACCTAAATAGATATACTGTTTGATAAGCCAATTTAGTTCTTAATTTTTATCCAATTATGTGCATTCAATAACACATTTTGATTATCACTTAAAATAAATTAGAGCCATTTAAAATGAGGTAAAATTTTAAGTGGCAGTGACTTCACTTAACTCCTAAAACTTCAGTACTTAAACTTATAAAAATAAATAATAATAAATAAATAAATTAAGTACTTATTCAGTTTTATCAAAAGGGATGCAGAAAAACCCAAAAAGATAAACATATGGTCATAAAACAAGAAATAGCATTGGTAATACTAATATGACACCTCTTTGCATTATTTGGAATCAAACTAGAAATAGAAGTTAGAACTAAATTGAACAGTAACACTGCTTTTTGTATAAATATCAACATTAAGATGCATCATGCTTATTTTTTTATAGAAAATATATTCTACACCCATGCATATATATAAATATATTGTAGAACGTACATATTAAATTGATGACTTAATATGAATGCCACAATTAAACAACAAAACAATTAAACATATTCCCAAAGTTTCTCATTTTCTCTATTCGATTTTCTAATAATAGTTAATAAGTTTATGTATATGTCTTAAGACGACTGTTCGTGTTCATTCTAGTTTCTCGTGTTTATGGGTTATCTTGTTCTGGGATTTGTACCTGTAATTCTTGTTTTGCAAACTAAAACCTATTTGGTGAAATTTTTTATGAACTTTTTTATATAATTAATTTTTCTTTTATTTTATGAATTTTAGTTATAAATATTTGTGAAGATAATGACTGAAACAGGATCTCCCTTTACAGGATTTGGAAGACTAATTGGTAAATTTGAGTTGAACTTGAGTCTTGAACAAGCTGAAGGCCCTTATTGTGGATTATAATTTTTACAATTATAGCATCCTACGGACCTTCTATAATTTTAGAGTGCTTTCATCACTTCATACTAGTAAGTCATATCTTCACACGCACTCTCACACACACACGCACGCACACAAACACACACCTGCACGCACGCACGTTAAAGATAGAACTGACATATGATTTGGCTTTGTAAAGAGATGTGTGAAGATCTGTTAATTCATCACATAGTTAAAGGTGCATAAAAACATTAATGCCACTATTATGAAAGATGCCAAACAGAGATGTGTAAAACCCTTTTGTCAAATCATCACATGGGAGAAAGATAGAATTGTGGTAGGTGGGCTCTATATTAGAAGACATATGATGACACACATGTTAAAAGATAGAATTGTGATATAGAGAGATATGTGATGTGCTCCTTAATTAGCGATGTGGGGTGTAATACCATTTTTAATTTAAAAAATAAGTGCCTTTTGCGAAAGTACCACTTTTTTTCCAAAGGTACCACATTTTTTAACTAAAGGTACCATTTTTTGGCATCCAGGTACCATGTTTTCTAAACACTCGCTTAGCTAACTTCGAAAATATTTTGTATTATTCATGGCCCTAATGAAGCTGTTTATTGATCTAATGTGTTCCTTAATTAGCGATGTGGGGTGTAATACCATTTTCAATTGCAAAAATAAGTGCCTTTTGCGAAGGTACCACTTTTTTTCCAAAGGTACCACATTTTTTAACTAAAGGAACCACTTTTTGGCGTCCAGGTACCATGTTTTCTAAACACTCACTTAGCTAGCTTGGAGAATATTTTGTGTCATTCATGGCCCTAATGGAGCTGTTTATTGATCTAATATGCTCCTTAATTAGCGATGTG